TGTCCAAATATTCAAGAAACAAGATTAAATTCAGTTAAACATCTTTTGATTTATGGTAAACAAGTAACAAATAATAGTGTTAATTATTTTCCAAATGTTACTCAATTAACTTTTGAACATTATTTCAAAACATCTTCTGATGATCATTCGATTCCAAAAACTCTTAATCGTTTAATTCCTTTAAAACAACTTACAAAATTAAATATTAAATCTTATAATTTTCCTTTCATAGTTATAGTGAAATTATTACATTGTACACCTAAGTTAATTACATTAAAATTTGATTCATTTGTATTAGATGAAATTGATATGAAATTACTTGAACAAAGTAAACTTTTTGAATATGTATCAAATACAAATACAATAAAAAATCTCGAAATTCGTAAGAATTGTTTATTCAAACAAATTCAATTAATTATTAATTTATTTCCAAAATTAGAATATTTTAAAAGTGGAATAAATCGAAAAGAAATTGGAAATATTATTCGATTTTTAATAATAAAACCTAATAATAAAATTCAAAATTTATTCTTTTTATGTATTTCAGAAACACCAAAAATATGTTTAAAAGAAATAAATTTATTAATTAAATTAGAAAATTTACTTAATGATTATTTTATTAAATATGTTAATCGTGATTTATATTTATGGTGGTAAAATTTAATTGTTTAGGACTTCGTTTTTTTTTTATTTTTCTGTATAATTTGTAATTACTTTGAAATAAATTAGAAATATATATATTAGAATTCATGTTTCAGTGTATTGTAGTACTTACTCAGGACTATCAAATGGTAGTTTCCGAGTTGAAATAAAAAATATTTTCCTTCATCGTGAAACATGCTTCACCATGCAAATGTCGCAGGATGTCTGAATAGGTTTTTTCTGATATAGCGGATACATATGCTGAGTGGCCCAAAAGTCATGTACCACCCGAAAAAAGAATTGAATATTTCCATTAAGGTTTGAGCACACAAGTTGATTTTTTCGTCGATGATAGAGGCATGTTCGAGGTTTTTTATCCATAAAGATACGTCTAGAGAGACTCTTTGTTAAATGTGTCATTTCCCCCTCTATCTGAAAAAGTAAGTTTTTTTTTTGTTGAGATCAATACTAGATACTCGAACTCAATATGTTATTTGAAAATATATTCAATAAAAAATTTCTTAGAAAAATCAAAACTTAGATTTCAATCGAATGTGCATAATCTTGTTGACTTTGAATGTTTACGATTTGCTAAAAACAGATGATAACAAACTGTAACTTAATGTCACATTTGTGGTTGATGGTTCACGTAAAACTTGATTAATTTTCACTTCAGGCATTGGTTCTGTTGGTGGTTGAAAATATTTATTGAGAAACGTTTTCGTATGCATTAGAATGATTGACTCAGATATCGAATTATAATCATCGTTCGCTAACAATACGAGTTCTTTTTAGTTAGTGTGATTGAGTAAATTGAATAATATTTAAGAATGTTCGAATGGAATTAAAGCGTCATGTTGTCCATGTATAAAAAGTATTTGATATGTAATGTGTTGCATTGCCTCATTATTATCCCAAAATGACACCTTAAGTAAATTTGAAAAATTGCCAACTTTTTTCTCGAACTAAATTCCTAATTGATGTATATGAAGATTGAAGAACAAGTCCACCGACTGATTGTATTGATGCAAGATAACATGCAGGGCCATTGCCTAGCGAATATCCATAGATTATGATTCAATCGTATTGGCCATTTAATTGTATCACAAACAAACGAATAAGCACGTTGACCACGATCATTAATTGATGCTTCATTGGGTGATGATACTATTCCTTTCGACAAACCATACGATGGATATTCGAAGACGAGTAGATGTGCCTGAAGCTGTTGACTCAATGTTGAGAATGTCATATGCCTGCTATTAACATCCTCAGCATTGCCATGACACCAGATGAGAAAGAATTGAGCTTCTTGTGTGTGTGGGTGCACTGCGTGTAAAGATAAAACACACACCCACACCCTGTTCATGTTTCACATTTATTCTTTATAATTAGCACAATATTCTAGATATCTATTTTCATTTTGTATTATTAAACGATAACAATACTTCTCGCAAAAGCCATATTAAAAGCGACAAATAAACATGAGTATCGGATAAGTATTATTCATGAGACTGCCAGTAGTAGAACAACTAGAATCAACCTAGTAGTGTAACATAACAATATTTTAATTCTCAAAAGAGTGAGAGTATCGACACTAAATAGAAGATGTTATCATATAAATATAATTGACATTCCTTCACAACATTCTAAATGGAAAATCTCCCTTTTATCATATACACATACATAATTGAAAAGAGATTTTTCCCACTCAAAATATCTATCCACATATAAGAATTTTTCCCTATGCACTACGCCCATATTTCATCGATAAGAGAAGTGGCATAGAAAAGCTCGTTTTCATTCATAATTTTTATTCGCTATCTTCATCTCAATAGAATCAAGTCACCTTTTTTTTTATTGATTCTGAAAATCCATACTCTTTATCTAAAAGTTAATGAAATGAATACCTACTTGTAAAAATTAAAACAGCAAGAAAATTGATATTTTTTCATTATATTTGTCTATTTTTATTTTTATTACTCCTTCTTCTCATTGTTATAAGAAAAGAAAAATTGATTTATCTCATCATCACTATGACAGCAGTGGACAATTAGATCAGTCGATGAAGGAAAAATGCTTCATCCCACATAAAGTCATATATATCAAGAAGAAATAGAAAGAAAGAATTAAAAAAATATATAAACATGATCTACAATATGATATTGCACGTTTACTGAAATTTAAATGGAAACAGAATATCATCTATATTTATTAGAAGATTTTCATCAAATAAAAAAAATTGTTTATTTCCTTTCGAATATTTTTCGTTTCTTCTTCTTAGTATTAGAGAAATAGATGAAGCATTTCATCTCATATTTTAATCATTTCAACTAGAACAAACTCATAACCGCTAGGAACCTTTCCAAAGACAAAAAAGCCTTATTCAAACCTTCCTGAATATTTTTCATTTCTTCGTATTACTAGAGAAATGGACGAAGCACTTCATTGAATATGTTAATATTATTTCTCTTAGATACAATCGATCTCTGGCAGAATGTCTTATTGTGAATGGAATCCTGAATCCATCACTTCCATCAGAAAAAATTCATCTTGTATAGAAACAATCCTTCAGATGAAAAAAGAAAATTATTCATTTCTCTTTATAAGTGGAGATATGGTTGAAGAATTTCTTCTTTAAAAAATAACCGCAGTGGCTTGCACTGATAAAGGTTGATTGTATGAAAGATAGCGTTTCCCTCTGATTTTATGGAGCAGCTGCCTAATTCGACTTATAATATAAATGGAGATCGAAAAAAAAACAGCACTCATGTTAGCAAAAGAATAAAACTTTTTCTTCGTCACTTATCGTTAATTATACAACATAAATCATGGAGGCTTTACTGTAAAGCTAGGCAAAATATTTCACTTTTTTAGCTATTTATTATTTATGATAAAAGCTATAAATGTTGATGACTTTACTGTAAACTTATGCAAAACTTTTTACTTTTTTCGCCGTTTATCATTTATTATAAAAGCTATAAATGATGAAGACTTTACTCTGAACCTAGGCAAAAATTTTGCTTTTTTTGCCATTTATCATAAACGCGATAAATGGCGATGACTTTACTGCAAAGTTACGGGAAAAAATTTTATTTTATTTTTTGCTATTTATCATTTATTACAAAAGCTATAAATGTCGATGACTTTACTGTAAAGCTAGGCAAAAAGTTTTACTTTTTTGCCATTTATCATTTCTGATAACAACTATAAATCATGAAGACTTTACTGTGTAGTTAGGCAAAAATTTTTACTTTTTTTGCCATTTATCATTTATGATAAAAGCTATAAATGATGAAGACTTTACTCTGAACCTAGGCAAAAATTTTGCTTTTTTTGCCATTTATCATAAA